TAAATCATTTAAAAACAGGTTTAAATTAAACAATCATGGTTTAAACCATTTTCTATCCCTATATGTAGTGATGCAGATGAATCGTCACAATGATGCTATAACGTTTGCCATAACTTCTCATAACTATCTTTGTAAAATATAATAATTATTATAAGTTACGACATTATTGCCATAACTTTATTATATTATGACATACGGCAATTCATCTGCACCTCTAATCATATGAATTCTGGCAAAGGAAAACATTAAACAGACAATTATAGCTTATTACTAGTTTCTAACCCGGTGCGCAACACCGGGCTTTAACATTCTTAATTTTTTTTATATTCTTTTAATTATAATTGATATTTATTATTTTTTTTTATATTATTTTAATATTTTTAATTGTTTTTATATTTTTTTAATTATAATTGATATTTATTTTTATATTATTTTAATATTAGTATTTTTTTATATTATTTTAATTATAGTTGATATTTATTAGGTATAATAATTTTAATAGCTCCTAATTATATTCATCAGCAACGCGCAAATAAACAATCTCTATAGACAATATTCTTAAAGACAATACAGCTTGTATTCTTCGCTATGCTTAGTAATACTGACAGAGCTCGCTTTACTCACTCTGTAGTCACTTGCTCTGGCTAACGCCTCCAGCTCCACTCCTGTTTTATAAAGCATACTAACTCAAACACTAACCCTAACTCTAACCCTAACTCTAACTATTCATTATAAACAACATTAGTAGCAATAAATTAAACCCTAACCCTAACACTAACCCAACCCTAACTATTCGTTATTAACAACTTAAATAGGTTTTAATTATTTTTTATAAAATTAATAATTTATTTTTTATATAAAAAATGTTTTAAATTTAATATACCAATCTGGGCCCCTGTTGGGGCTCAGATTAGTATATTAAATATAAAGTTAAATATATAAAAAATTTAAAATTAAAATTTTTTATATAAAAATATTTTAAATTTAATATACTAACCTGGGTTCTATTAGGACCCAAATTAGTATATTAAAATTAAAGCTAAATATAGCAATTATATATTTTTATAATATAATTTCAAATAAAAAATGCTTTAAATTTAATATACTAACCTGGGCCCTATTGGGGCCCAGGTTAGTATATTAAATTTAAAGCCAAACAAATAAAATAATTTTATTTTTTAGTTATATTTTTTTTTAAATACAAATTTAAGTATAAAATTTTAATTTTACTCTAACTTCAAAATATATAACTCTAATTCTACTTTAACCCAAAATACAAAACATGAAACACTAATGTTAACATTAATTTAATTTTTTAATTTTTTAATTTTTTTAATTTTTTAATTTTTATTTTTTTAAAAAAATTTAAAATTTAAACCAAAATCCTAACCCTAACCGAAATGCAAAACTGTTAAAAATTTTAATTGTTTAATTTTTATTTTTTAATTTTAGTTTTTTTATTTTTTTATTTTTTTTATTTTTTTAAAAAATTTAAATCTTAAACCCAAAATCTTAACCCTAATATCAAAATGCAAAATAAAATTTGAATTTTAAAAATTTTAGTTTTTTATTTTTTTTATTATTTTATTATTTTATTTTTTTAAAAATTTAAACCTTAAATTCAAAACCTAACCCTAATCCCAAAATGCAAAATGGAAACCCTAACCCTAACCCAAAATACAAAACTGAAACCTTAACCCTAACTCTAACCCCAAAATACAAAACTGAAACTCTAAATCTAATTTCGAAAATTTTATTTTTTTTATTATTTTATTATTTTATTTTTTTTATTATTTTATTATTTTATTTTTTAAAAATCTAAACCTTAAACCCAAAACCTAACTCTAACCTTAGCCCTAACCCCAACCCTAACTCTAACTCTAACCCAAAATACAAAACTAAAAATCTAAATCTCAAAATTTTTATTTTTTTAATTTTAAACCTGATTTATACATATATATATTGTGTTACATATTGGCTTTTGGGGGTTCAGAATTTTTTGTGATCCCAATCTGATTTGGTTTAATAGGTGTGACAATTACCATGTGACAAATAAGTAGTTTTTTAATATATTAATTAGTAAATTCTTATTTGTCATGCCATATTTGTCACATCCAACCACTGAATCAGGTTCTTTTAACCAATTTCTGGTTCAAAAGAACCCAATTCGGGTTCCTTAAACCAATTTCTGGTTCAAAAGAATCCAAATCGGGTTCCTTAAACTAATTTCTGGTTCAAAAGACCTGATTCGGGTCTCCTTGAACCAATTTCTGGTTCAAATACCCGAATCGGGTCTCTTTAAACCAATTTCTGGTTCAAAGGAACCCGATTCGGAGATACACTTAGTCGGAGTTTTAAAACTCCGATCAGGCCCCAAAAATTTGTGAGAACTCAAATTCCAAAGTTAAATTTTCTTGACACTTAGTCGGAGTTTTAAATCTCTGATCAGGTTCTGGGCCTGTGTTTGCATGAAGCATGCCAGAGTGGATGGGTGGGAAAAGTAGAATTTTTTAAGATTTTCGAATTATTCGGCCTAAGATGTAAACATGTGATATAATCAAATCTAACAATAGATATGATATCACAGGATTTAAAGCATAACATTCACGTGTTATCCCGATATTTGTCACATGAAATTTTTTAAATTTCCATACCTGATATTCAAATTTTGTGATATTTTTAATAGTAAAATTCGAAAAAATTACAGATAACGCAAAAAAGCGCTTTATGTAGTGATTTAAGCCGTAAGGTTTTAGTCGGCTGGCTAAATACTGTACTTCTGGAAATTTTCAGTAAATTTAGCTTGTATTTTATGTTCATTTATTTTCCTTTTCAGAATTTACCAGAATTCTACTATATACTAAATCATATGGGCTGAGTGCTGGAGAAAGAAACGAAAATGACAATTTTTCAAAATTTTTTTTTTGATCCTAACTTATTCAAAATCGACTTGGAAACATTTTTACCTTATAAAAGAAGTGTTGATATCTTAATAAAATTTTATGTTATAGATAAAACGATATAAAAAACTAGTAAGATCAGATAAATATTATCGATATAAAATCGATGTAAATCAATGTAAATCAATGTAGATCATCAGAATTTATCGTAAATGTTGAAGCAATATCTAAGCCAATCAAAATCACGATTATAATAATTTAAAGATTAATATAAATTTTATTTGACTAATTCTTTTTCTGATCGGGCATTTTGTTCGAAGTTTCCTTTAAGACTGTGTGCTAATAAATAGATACTCAACCGTATCGCACTAATTAAAAAATCCATTTTTATTATATCCCACGTATGATACTCAGGTGAAAGCATAAGAGTTCTATTAATTGTAAACAGTTTTTTTTAAAGTTTCAGAGACTGTATTAGTCTGTAACAGAGATACTTTGTCATACAATATACCCAGGTATTTTATAAGTTTTAGACCCAGTTTTTAATTAGTGCGGTACATTACTTGTAAACTATTACAGTTTTTCAACTCTCGCATTATGTTTCTGATATCTGTTACACCTAAATCAGATTTATACTTCTGAATAATTTCAAATTAATATTTTAATCTAATGCTAATGTATCAAGTAATTTATAGTTAATATTACCTGACATGAACGATTCAGATGGAATATTCTGGTTTGTGAATATGAAATTGGTGTTAAGAAGCATTCGTTTATTGAAACGTGCAGATATAAATGATTTATCTAGATGGCACAATTATTACTATGAACATAGAATAACTTGCTAATGCTATGAGTATGGAGTTGGAGTTAAGACGAAAATAAGCACATTTATTGAAAATTTGACAGGTATAAATAGTCTATCTGTAATCTTTTGACTTTGCTATTTGTTATAAACATGGAATTAGATTAAGAATCTATTTATTAATTAGCGAAATTTTTTGCATCTGAATGATCTGATCGAAATATTTTAACTTGACTATAATTACTAACATAGAATGAAATTAAGAAAAGACATTCATTGATTACCAAAAATCCACAATTATAAGTGAACTAGTCAGAATATTCTGGCTTGATTCTGTTATAAACATAAAATTAGAATTAAGATGAAAATAAAGCATTCATTCACTATCAAAAAGATATAGATATGAAAGACCTACAGGTAATTAATGATTATATTATTAACTAGTTTTACCCTTGTCTATTCAAATTAGAGTTCTCGGATTTTTCTAGCAGCTAAAATAGCACAAGCAATATCACGAAAACAATCAAATTTCGGTTCTGCTAGAAAAATCCAAGAACTCTACTTTGGATTATCCAAATTTTCATTATATCTATAGTTGACGTATTAAGATTAGAATTTATTTTTTTACTTATACATATAGGTATTTATTGTCACGGATCATAATGAAATCAGATTAAAATGAAATGAAGGTTTCTATTTAACCCTCTAAAACCCACTTATACTCTTACCCTAACTTCTAACCCTAAAAAATACACCTCAAAAATTTTTATTTTTCTGTGACTTGTCTATTTTTTACATTGTACAATATTTCATTTTAATCTGATTTCATTTTAATCTGTCATATTTATTGCATCAATGAAGAGTACCATATATTGATAATAACTTGATTAAGACTTATTGTATTTCTATAACTAAATTTGAGAGATAATTCGAGCACATGATAATTGTTAAATCTGGAATATTAACAATAGCATGATAGTTGCTTTGTGTTTGATTTAATCACTTAAATTGTTGTAAATACTTAAATTAGATAGCATTTGAACTTAGAGTCGCATATCTTTGGAGAATTCTTGTTGAAAACAAAAAAGCATTCTTAGTTTAGGTGCTTTGATTATTATTGAATATGTATGTTATGCATGCTTTGCATCCCTTAATAATAAATCACATGAATGAAATGACAGTATAATATATAAAATTTTTGACATTGTGTTTACTCTGTTCAACAATAGTCTAATCAGTTTTATGCTTATAAATTATTTATCGGGCTTTACTTCTTTGGATATTACTCTCAAAAAATGGATTTAATACATACTTTAGTTTCTTCAATTTTTTTAGAGACACATTCGGAAATATATTCGTTAGCAAAAGAATTTAATCAGCTTAAAACGTTTTATCAAACGAATGACAATTATGAGTTAGAATTAAAAGAAACATTAGAGAAAGAAGAATCTCCTCTTGAAAATATAGAGTCTAGCAATATAGAACAACAATTCGATAATCAAATCTTTACGACTTTACAAATTGAAAAGTTTCAAAAAATATTTGCCAAACATACTATTAAAGAAGGTGATGATGAGCAAGAAACTGATGAGAAAGTGATGACGCATTTAGATCAGCAGGAAAAGGAGGCTTTTTTTTGAAACTTCGTACCTTAGTTTGCTGTAATTCTAAAATGTGCTTAAATAAAATTGATTATGAATCAGCATTTCAAATTTTTGATATTATTTGAAAATTATCTAAAACAGAGTATAATAATTTTCTCTTAGGAATGCTTCATACAATGACTCGTTCTAATGAGACTTTACGTGGCAAAGGAAAACAATACTTAACAGTTAAATATACTTTTAATAATGATGAAATTTGCGAAATAGCTTTTCGAACTGTATATTCACTATCAGATAAAAAATGGAGAAATATTTGTAATCATTACCAGGTCAATAGTATTAAACCAATTGTACACGCACTAATAGAAAGAAAATCATCTCACACATTATCATTTGCAACTATTTTAAATGTTCTTACATTTATTGTTAATTTTGCAAATTGTTATGGATTACTATCACCGGGTACAATATAGTGATATTAATTAGATCAATCTTTTTTTTTAATAATAAAGAGTAAACTTTAAAATTGCTTTAACATGATGAATACTTTTTTTTTTCTTTTTTAATTAATAAAATATACATAAATAAAAATTTTATTAGGCCGTCATTTTCTTGATGATACTATGGCTATTACATTTCTTCCTGCAAGTGAAAGCTACATTGAACTATACCGTCTCTATCAATCAAGTTTAGATGAAACATCTGATTTACATGTTAGTCGATGGTCTTTTGTACAAATTTGAAAAAAATATGTACCAGAAATTCGCTTTTTATCACCTCGAACCAATCTATGCATGCTGTGTAAAAACATGCGATTTAATGCACAATTTTGGACAGAAAGTGAACGAGATCAAAATGTGCAACAATGGAATAATCATATCAATTGGGCATATCAGGAACGGGAGTATTATAAGTAGGAAAATTCATAATTAGAATTAGGTAAGGTAAGACCATTGATGTTATTATGACTGATTATTCACACAGTGTGCAACGTATAAAAATAATTTTACAATACTGATTATTCAGCTAGTACATGTTATGATAATAATGCAATACTATTTTTATTAGTAAAAATGACGTTGGATTATAATCATAACATGTACTAGCTGAATGATCCAGTATTGTAAAATTATTTTTTTATACGTTGCATACTGTGTGTAAAATCAGTCGTAATAATATCAATGGCCTTACCTGTAAGAATTAGCCTAAATTTATTGTTCTAAAAATATATAAAAATGTAGTCTACATCATAATTAAAGCACATGAACACGGTAATAATAAAGAGCTATTTTAATATTAGTATAAGGCATTACTTTACTTATACTTAACTCATATAGCGATATATATTTTTTTTTTTTTTGAAAGAGTTAGAGGCATAATGCTTACTTATAAAGTACTGCTATACTGCTAATCGCTTAATATA